ATGTCAGGGAGCACCCACTCCCCGGTGGCTGGTGGCTCGCCCCAGATGTGGCAGGTGAGGTTGACGCTGTCCCCTTGGCGCAGCACCACATCGGGGTGCTCAATGCGGGCGGTGGGGGGCTCTGCCGAGGAGAGATGAGCTGTCCCCATGCTGTCCTCACCCACAATGGGCTCAAGGTTGGGTTTGGGTCCCCCTGTACCACCTACCACAGCCGTAGAGGAGGTGGCTGCCCAGGGCCACGAGCGCGCTGCCCTCCCAGCAGACCAGCGACTGATTGCCCAGCTCAGCACGGCTCCCGTTCTGCCACAGCTGCAGCCAGCGGATCCCACAGGAGCAATTGAAGGGGTTTCCCTCCAGGATGCTGAGACGGGGAGAGGATACGAGCTGCATGCAGTGCATCCCCAGCTGCATCAAGCCCGGGGCGCGCAGGATGGATGGCTGCACCCGGAGCGGTTTGCTGCGCAACGCTGAGCTGTGTGTGCTGTGCTGTCCCCATCCCTGTGCCTGTTCCCATCTCTGCTGCACACATCTGGGGCTGTCGGAGCTGCATATCTGCAGCTGGGTCTGTACCAGTGCTGCCACAGCCACGGGTGCATCCCCAGCCCTGTCCCTGCTCCCACATCCTCCCCCAGAGCTGTATCCCCAGCCATACCCCATGCCCTGCCCCTCGCCACGGCACTCACAGCTCCTGTAGGGGCAGATGCTGGAAGGTTTTCCAGGAGAGGCTGGTCAACGCATTGAAGGAGAGATTCCTGCAAGCACAGACCCCATCAGCCTCTCTTCCCCAAGTCCCCTCATCATGCATCACCCTCACACACAGCGATCTCTCATATGCTGGGAACAGAGCTGTCACACCATGACCAAGCAGAAGCACATGCACCAGGCTGGCTGCCAGCCCAGCCTTTGGGTGCCCCTTCCAGGGATCTCCATCATCCCTGGGGTAAGTTTCCTCTCCCTCTCCCCTCTTTCCAGCATCCCCTCCTGCACGGGGCTGCACTGCACAGAGTTCCCAGGGGGCTCCAGCCCCGATCAATGGTTTCACATTCAGCAGCACAATCCCACACAGTCCCTCTGGATTGAGTTTTGCTTCTAGGCAGTGGGACAGCATCGATCCTCCCAGAGTGCAGGGACAAAGCCACCCTGCGTGGGGATGAGTGCCCTGAGGGGGTTGACATGCATGGGGATGGGGATCCGAGCCCTAGAAGGGGGGTACTCACACATGGCTCAGCCTGTGGGTGTCCTGGAAAGCATCGTCAGATATGTGCTGCAGCCCCGAGTTGGAGATGGTGCTGGGGGAGGCAAGGGCTAAGCACGTGCAGTGGGAACCCTGTCCCCATCCTCCCCACCCCACCCCAGGGGGCTCACAGGTGCCTGAGGTCCCACAGCATTCTGGTGTCTTTCTGGGTCAGAGATGTCAGCAGTGGTTGGTTCTCGATGATGCTGGAAGGCAACAGGGCAGCAGGTGGGGATCAAGCCCCAATTCTGGGATCACCACTGCCAGAGCAGGGGGAGCAGCCCTAGGATGGGGATAGGGACAGAGCCAAGCTGCTCCTCTGGGCCTCAGTTTCCCCTGGGCTGAGCTGGCACGCTGGGGCCAGAGCTGAATTCCCACTCAGAACCCACAGTCCCACCCAGAAGGCGAGTTGGCCCAGTCTCAGCCCCCCTCCCCCAAGGCCCCTCTATGTGTCCCCTCACTTCTCCCTGTACCTACAGTGCCCTGTAGTGTGACGGTGGCACTGAGAAGCAGGCTGTTTCCTCACTCCTTCTCTTCCCAAGGAAAGCCCCTTTGGGAGCCAGCGCAGGGCTTTCCAACCACCCCCACCCCCCAGGCCACGATGGGGATGAGGGAGACACAACAGAGGAATGGCAGGTGATCTCTTGGGGGATCACCATCCACCCCACCCTGTCAGGCAGTGAACAAAGAGCTGGCAGCGCCCGCAGCTCAGCGTCTCCCAGCACATGGAGAAACTGAGGCAGGGAGGCGTGCGGCAGCCGCTCCAGCAATGCAGCAGATCAGCAGGGTGAGGACCCAGGAGCCCAAACACCCTGGTGGCACCCAAATTGTCACTACACACCTCTGCTCCCTTCTCATCCCAGCACACAGCAGAGGGGGAATGGAAGAGACATGCCCCAACCCAGGCAGTGTGGATGACCAAACCCCTCCTGCACCTCAGCTGAGTATCAGCATGATTGTGCTCTCCCCACGCTGGAGAATCATCCCTCTCAGATCCAGGGGGATGGGGGCTCAATTCCCCCTCAGCTTCCCAACCCACAAGTCTCAGGTTAGCTGGACAGCATCATCATGGTGGGGACAAAGGGTCCGGTCTCCTCCCGCTCCCCATCACTGCCCACTGCAGCATGGGCGCTCCCTGTCTGTGGACCCTGCTGCACCCCAGCCCTACTGGGGCTTCATGGGAGGGGGCAAAGAATTGTCCTGAGTCTCTCCCTCACTCCCTGTGAGTCCACAGCAGGGATTCTTCCCACCTTTACACCCCAATAACCCCTCTCCATGCAGCCCTGGTCCCCATCAGTGCCCCAGCATTATCCCAGTGACACCACCATGTACGTCCTCCAGCCCCACTACTGTGTCCTGGTCCAAATGCCCTGACCCCACTGCCATCCGCTTCCTCATCTCCATCCTCATCAGCCCGTCCTGGCCTCACTACTCTGCCCCGTCCTTATCCCCTTCCTCATCCTCATCGCCAGATCCCATCTCCATCACTAGTTCCCTTCTTCATCCCCATCCCCGCTCCCTTTCCTCATCATACGACCCCAATCCCCAAATCCCCATCTCATCGCTGTCCCTCTGCCCTTCCCCACTCACACGTCGGTGGGGCGGCGGGTGCCCAGCAGCAGGGCGCTGAGGCTGCTCACGGTTCGGGGCTCCCGGCAGCGCAGGATGTGGGGCTCGGGGCAGCGGCATTGCGCGGGGCAGGCGGGAGGAGCGGCGGCTCCCGGGGGCAGCAGCAGCGCAGCCAGGCACAGCCGGAGCCAGGCGGGCAGCATCGCGACCCGAGGCCGCTCCGGGACCGCCGCCCTCGCACTTCGTCGCCGCACCGGAGCCCACGAAAGTGGCACCGTGAGGGACCGGCGGGTTAAAAGCGGCGCCCGGTCCGGCCTCCTGGGGAGGGGCCAGCGGCTCCCCCGCCCCGACCCTGCCCGCAGCCCCGCACCGCGCGGCGGCACCGGGAGAGTGCGGGATGGGAGGTCGGAGCGCAGGTGGGGTGGGAGAAGTGGGACCCTGCCCGCTCTCTGCCCGCGCCCTGGATGCGATGCTCGCACTCTGCACCGTGCCCACACTCTGCTCGCGCTGTGCCCGCAATGCCCGCACCGTCCCCGCACCATCCCCGCCCGCGCCCTGCTCCAGCAGCTCCGGTGCCCCCATTTGCAAGGGGCGGAGGACACCTCCCACTGCCCCCTCCCCGCACTCAGGGCCATCAGGAGCATCCCCTTCCCCAGCTCTCCCATCGCTCTCCCAAAATGTCACAGCGCTGAGCTTCCCTCGAGCCCCCCGTTACATCGGGGTGCAGAATTGGGAACATTGCTGGCACAGTGGACCCGTCTCCAGCTGTCTCACCTGCTTGGGACCCTCTAGTGAGGAGAGATCAGAGCATGGCTGGTGGATCCCCATCTGCCCCCGTTGCCCCCATCCCACTCCCTGCGTTATGGCACTAGAGCTCATGCGTGCGATGAGTTTGGCACATTCTCAGTCTGAATTCCTCCCCCAGGGCTCAGCCCTGAGCACCAAGAGACTGGGATGGGGAGAAAAGAGGTATGCGAGACCCCTCTCCACAGACATCCCGGTCTGAGTCCCCCGTCAGACCGCCACCGCCTCGCGAATTCCTCTGCTTTGACGTTTTTTTCCCCAGAAACGCCTCCGGCTCAGGCACCGCAGGGCAAAGCCGCAACGAGATGTGCAGGAAGCAGATGGGACCGGCGGACGGCAGTGGAAAGCCCCGAGCATCGCTCCCCTCCACCTCCACCCCAACCCCCCGTGCCCCCACAGATCAAGCACCGCTCGGCCGAGCTCCGTCCTGCTTTATTCTCCCTGCACCCCCTGGGCAGACAGAGGAGTCGGCGCGGCCCCCGACGCGGTGCCCCACAGTCAGGATTGTGGGGAGTCTGCAGGGCAGAGCGTGCCTCAGTTTCCCCACCCGCAAAACGGAGCGCCCCACGGGGCAGCCTCCCCTCTCCCTCCCCCCCCCCCCCCCTCCCTTTGCTACCTTCTCCCCAACGCAGGGGTTGGCAGTGCAGTGGCTGCCCCAGAGCGCACCCCCTTCCCTTAAAAGCAATAAATAACGCGAAGGGCCCCGCGATGGGGCGGGGGGATGAGTCCGCAGCGGGCGGCAGCCCCCGCTCACAGGCAGCCCGTCCCGTTGGGGAGCCGACCTCGGCCCTTGCGGGTGGGCAGAGGGGGTGCGGGCGGCTCGTCCTCCTCGGGGGGCGGCTCCGTTTCGGCGTCCGAAGGCTCGCTGGAGTCGCGCCGCCGGTTCTCCGGGCTGTAGAAGAAGGAGAGGGTGCGGAAAGCGGGAGCCATGTGCTCCTTGATGCTCTCCAGGAGCTGAATGAAGGATGGGCGCTGGCGAGGGTTCTGCTGCCAGCACAGACACATCAGTTCGTGGCTGCGGAACAAAGAATGCACAGTGGGTACGGGGGTCCCCAGTCACCCCCGGCCACCTCACGGGGGCTCCGTGCAGACCAGTGGTGCTTATTGCCCACCCCGAGCAGGTCTGGTAAGAGATCCCCCCACTCACAGTTGATCGGGGCAGTTCTCCGGCCGCTCCAGGACGCCGTTGTCCATGACGTAGTGCAGGACCTGTTCGTTGGACATCCCCTGGTAGGGCTGCTCAGCCAGCGTGGTGATCTCCCACAGCACCACCCCGAAAGACCTGCAGCACCCACAGGTCAGCCCGGGGTGGGTGGGGGTTCACCCACTTGGCTCTCCCCAGCCTCGTCACCCACCAGACATCAGACTGCGTGTTGAAGATGCCATCCTTGAGGGCCTCGGGGGACATCCAGCGGACGGGGAGCAGCCCCTTGCCCCCTTTGCGGTAATAATCTGTCTCGTAGATGTCCCGCGTCATGCCGAAATCTGGTGGAGGAGGAAGAAGACGAGGAAAAAGGAGACAGAGGTGGAAAAAGAATAAGAGAATGAAGAGGAGAAAGGCAAGGAAGAGGAGGAAGATACAGAGCCATGAGCACCAGGACGAGGGGACCCATCCCAAGCCCACCCACCTCTGGCTGCCCACCTCCAATCTTGACGGTGAAGTCCTCAGACACCATGCAGTTGCGCGCGGCGAGGTCACGGTGCACGAACTTCTTGGCGTTGAGGTAGGCCATGCCGTCGGCGATCTCGCCCGCCATCTGGATCATGTCCTTGAGCGAGGGTGGCGGCAGCCCGGGGTTGTTCTGCACCACGCACAGAGAGAGGAGGCTTTGGGGGGACGTCCTTGGGGACGGGGTCTGTGCCCCCTCCTTTGTAGGGCACCACGGCGCCTGGGCGGCCCCTCACCTCGGCGTCGGGTCTGAGAGAGCGCAGGTAGCTCTTCAGGTCCCCACGTGTCATCAGCTCCATGATGACCAAGGCTGGCTGGCCCTGGGACACGACGCCAAGCAGACGGACCTGGGGAGCGAATGGAAACAGCACGTGGGCAGCCACAAACCCAAGTTCCCTGGGATGTCCCCCCTGCTGCCACCTACCACATGGTGGCACTTGAAGGCCTTCATGACGGAGGCTTCCTTGAGGAACTCGATGCGCTCCCGCATGGTGGCCAGCTCGTTGACTGTCTTCAAGGCCACCTTGGTCTCCTCACCCTCAGCCACCAGCCCCAGTGCCAGCCCCTCGTACACCATCCCAAAGGAGCCCTGCCCCAGCTCCCGGATCACCGTGATCTTCTCCCGTGATACTTCCCATTCATCAGGGATATACACTGCAGGGAGGGGGGTCACCATCACCATCATCAATATCACCACCACCTCCATCCCCGTCCCCAAGCAGGGGAATGGGGCAGCAGACCCCAAGGGGGACCCCTGCCCATCCCCACATACTGTCCGAGGCACTGAAGTACTCGGGGTTGACAGAGGCGTACAGCGTCCCACTGGGGTAGCCATCATTGCTCCTGGGAGGATGGAGAAGTGGGCATGGCACAGAGGACGAGGGACAAAGAAGGGGGACAAAGGGCGGGGGGACAAGAGGCAGGGATGCAGTGCCACCTCCCCAGCCCCAGCTCAGCTGAGTGCAGCCCTAGGGTTCGGAGGGGTCACTACCTCTTCTTATTGTAGAAGAAGACAAAGACGGCGAGGCAAGAGATGAGCACCATGAGGATCACAGGCGTAACAGTGAGCAGGATGTAGAAGCTGCCGGACTCCTCCTCGGCTGCCGGGAGTGTGTCCATGGGGCAGGGTGTTGTGGGACCATTTGTAGCAGCACTCCGTGCCCTATGCTGCTCCCATCCCAGAGCATCCCCAAATCTCCCAAATTCCTGATTTAGCAGCATTCTTTCATCTTATGGTGTCCAGATCCAGGAGCACTCCCTGATCCCCAATCCCACCATTCCTCCCCAATTTCCTGGTGCCCCATCTAGCAGACTCCCAGCTCCCAGCCCAGCAGCCCCTCAACCCCACTGGCATCCTCCTTGCCCCCATCAGGTACCTGGCCCCAGGATGTAGAACTTGACAAGTCCCGTCCAGGAGCCATTGCCGGCCAGAGATGTGGCACGGACCTTGGCTGAGTAATTCCCTGGCTGCAGCAGGGCCAGGTGCACACCTCCATATTTAGCATAGCGGTGTCGGGAGACGCAAACAACAGTGGTGACCTCCTGGGGATGAAGGGGTAGTGGCAATGGGGACATCCCAGCCTTGGGGAGGGGGATGCTGAGCTGGATCCTCACCTCGCTCTCACGGCTGTACTTGATCTCATACTTGAGGATGAGCCCATTGGGGTTCCGGGGCTCCTGCCAGCGCAGCAGCACGCTGTTCTTGCTGGCTGGCTCCCAGGTCACGTTGCCGGGAATGTTGTCAGCTTGCACTGGATGGGACATAAATGGGCTCAGGATGAGAGGTGATGGCCTCACGTCGCACAGGGGAAGGTTCAGATCGGATATTAGGATAAAGTTGTTCTCAGAAAGAGTGATAAGGCATTGGAATAAGTTGCCCAGGGTGGGAGCGGAGAAAGGTGTAGCTGTGGCACTAAAGGATGTGGTTAATGGGCACGGTGGTGAAATCTTGATGGTTGGAATTGATCTCAGCGCAGTTTTCCAACCTTATAGATTTTGCGACTCTACCAACCCAGTGCTGATCCCCTCCCAAAATCACCCAGCACCCTCCCCTCTGCCCTTGGACGTACACTCAGGCATGGTCCTGGCGAAGACAAAAGTGGCCGCGCTGCAGCCCACGGTGTGCGCAGCGTGGTTGCATGCATGGATGTCGATGCGGTACTCTGTGAAGTGCCTCAGCCGCGACAGCACCGCGCGGTCCCGCACCACTTTGTCCTCAAAGATCTGGAAATCGGGTTTGGGTTCGGCTCTGGTGTGGCTTGGAGGTGGTGGCTCCACTGAGGAGGCGTTGGTGGGGGATGTGACGGCCATCAGGTCCCTGCGGCGCTTTGGGGTCCTGCAGGGATGGGAGGTGGTTTGGGGTCAGGGCGCAGGGGGGGCCTCACATGCAATGGGGCAGGGAGAGCCTCAGAGTTTTGGGGTTCTTCCCAGCTCACCGCTGTGGGTACTTGTTGATGGATGTCACCTTCCAAGGTGGCCTGAGACGGTAGGAAATGGTTAAAGAAGCCGAGGAACACCCTCCCTGTAACAGAGCAATGCTCGGAGACCCCCTGACCCTGGTACCCCTAAAGCGCCGGCACCTGGGGATGATGATGGAGTTATGGAGGAAGTTCTCGAACTTCTTCTGGAAGGACTCAGCCTCGCCCTCCATGCGGAGCTGCCCGTCAGCAGGGCGGCAGGGGCAGCAGCGCTCCTCTGCATCCTGCTCCACTTCAGGGCCGTCCCCGTCACTGAAGCGCGTGTCTGCACTGCTGGTGGGCAGCTTCAGGCCTGGAGGCGAGGGTGGGCAGTGCTGCATTTCCATCTCCACTCCCCATCCCAGCTCCACAGGGTCCCGGGGATTGTCCCCATCCCTGCATCATCCCTGGTAACCCTCCCACACCTTTGTGGCAGTAGTCATTGATGTAGAGCTCCATGTCCTCGGCCAGCTGCTGCCACAGCACCAGGTAGTAGGTGATGTTGCCATTGCGCTGCGTAGGTGGCTTCCAGCGCACCACGATGTGGGATGAGGAGTTGGACATGGAGATGACATCCCGCGGCACTGTCGGGGCTGGGCAGGCATGGGGACATCAGCCCCAGCCTGAGGTCACCGTGGGCACCCCAAACCCCCCAGCAACCCCATACCTGCTGGCATGGTGCGGATGTAGACCACCTCGCTCTGCGCCCCATAATTGCGCCCTTCCTCGGCGGTGGTGAGGGTGATGGCACGGACGAAGATGGCATATTGTGTCCACGGCCGCAGGTTGAGCAGGGCCACCCCTGGCTCCTGCTCACTGCTGAGTGGCAGCTCCACGTCCAGCACATTCCAGCTCTGTGCCCCGCAAGCATCCTGCCCCACATACTCTGACACGTTCTGGAAAGGTCTGGCAACCACCCGGCCCCCAGGCATCAGCTGGGGGGTCCCAGCCAACCCCAAGCCTCTCCATCTTCTGAGGCCCAGCAGCCCCAGATGTGCCATGAGGATGCTGCAGGCTGAGGGACACGAGGATCACTTACGACTCCTTGTAGTAGACAATGAAGCTGAGGAGGTCTCGGTACTCAGGCGGCCGGTACCGCTCCCACTTGAGGAAGATGCGGTCGGACTCGGTGATGTTGGAGATGAAACGCAAGGTTTGGGTTTTGCCTGTGGAGGGGTGCAAGGGATCAGAATCACGGTGCCACTGGGTCCCCCCCATCCCCATCCCCACACTCACAGGACGCCCGGTCCCCGTTGGTGCGCGGGTTGATCTCTGCCTTGTTCTGCCGCCCCTTGGTGCCCGTCACCTCCTCCATGTGGTAGATCTCAGCCAAGCAAAGCTTGGGGTTGAAGGCAAAATACATCTTGCCCACAGGGATAGAGAGGACGTGGTGGCTCCAGTCCCACAACTGCTGCAGATTCTGATTGTCCAGGACGTATAGGGTGTAATTCCTGTGGAAGAGGCAGATGGAGGTGATGGGCACAGGCACCCCACTCCCAGGTGTCTTCAGCACGTCCTGTCCTCACCCATCCACCATGGAGTCTCCGCGGATCAGCTTGAGGTTCTTGAAGAAGGACAAGGAGACAAGGGCGAAGGAGTGCTTGATCTTCAGGAAGCCCGTGATGGTCTCGATGAGGCCCAGGCTGCTCTGCAGCTCCGAGGCCAGATTATCTGGGGACATCCCATGGGCATGAGCGTGGTGTGGTGATGGAGCTGGCACTTGGGACCCTCACTCCTCAGTGATCCCCACCCATTAATTCTTCCTCCAAGGGAAATTCCCACCCCCCCTCTGCCCCATGTCACCCTCCCAGCACTCACAGCCTCGGCGGATGTTCAGGATGAGGTTGCCCTCCACCAGAGTGCAGCCTGTCAGCTCCTGCGCTGCCCGTGTCGAGTCCACTGTCTTGGTGCCAACCTTGCATGCTTTGGGGCACAACCCCTCACACTTGTGGCAGAAGATGCTGCAGGGACAGGGAGTGGGACGTAAGCCGGGCACGGAGCCCCCTCCCTCCACTGCCACCCCCCAAGGGCGGGGGTCCCCACCTGCTTTCATTCCTGGTGTAGCCGGGGGGGCACTCAGAGAGGCACTGCTGCTGGTGGATGACAAACTTGGAGGCGTCGCGTGGGTTGTCGGAGACCTTGCGCAGGCTGGCACAGTACTCAGCTGTGACGCAGCGCCAGCCCTCGTACTCATAGGTGCGGGGTGGGCAAGAGGGCAGGCAGTGCCCATTGAAGTGGAAGTGACGGCAGGCCACGCAGGAGCGGCTGTCACGGGGCCGCCCGCAGCCCCCCAGGCACTCAGCATGGCAGCACTCACCCGACGCCGTGCACGCCGAGCCCGCACCGCACGGGCACACTGCAGGGAGGTGATGTTGGCAGTGGGAAAAGGGGATTGTGCAGGGTTTGGGCGGGTAGGGGGCTGGTGACAGACTGCTGGTGTGGGGAGCAAGGAGAGAGGGTGGGGAGGGGTGGAGGGGCAGATGGAGGGGTGAATGGATGAAGAAGTGGATGGAGGGATGGGTGGATGGACAGATGGATGGATGCAGGGATGGATGGACGGAGGGATGGGTAGGTGGAAGGGTGGATGGAGGGAGGGTTGGTTGGATGGGTGTACGGACAGAGCGATGGATGGAGGGATGGACAGACACGTGGGTGGATGGACAGGTGGTGGATGGACGGGTGGATGCACAGACAGCTGGACAGACAGATGACGGGCTGCGTGGACAGTCAGGACAGACGGGCAAATGGACAAATGGACAGGTGAGGCTCACCGCATGCCAAGCCCCAGCCACCCAGCGGTGCCACGTGGTGCAGCCAGTGCTGGGGCAGTGGCCGAGGTTACAGCCCAGATAAGGATCTGTGTTTATAGTATATATTTCATTACCAGGCCTCCTGTTTACTGCAAACGAGCCCGGGAGGGGCGTGTATTTACCTCACCGCTGGGAAAACATGGCAGCTGGCAGCTGGCCTCTCCTCTCGAGAATGATACAGCGCGGATCCGATTACTCCACTGCAGCTCGCTCCCACGCAGGGACAGATGTGTGCCCAGCTCTGCCCTCCCAGTGCCTCCCAGTGCCTCCCAGTGCTCCCCATCGGCTCCCAGCACTGGGATGAGCAGCCCCGCAGCACCTCACCCACCTTTCTGGCAGTAGCTGGAGGTCCAGCAGCGGTAATCCAACTGCCCATTGACAACGGTCTGCGCACACGGCTTCTCCACGTCCAGGATACCTGGGCAGACGTCGGCGCACTCCTCAGCCAGCTTATTGCCCACAATGTAGCTGTTGTCCACGGCGTCGGGCAGCAGCAGCCCCCAGTCGATGGTGGAGAGGTGGCAGAGCTCCTGGTTGCGCTCGATGCGCACCGAGCCGCGCAGCACGTGGCTCAGGCTGTGCAGCCCGATCTCCCGCAGGTGCGGCATCTCGAAGATGACCAACGCGTAGTTGAAGAAGAGGTTGGTGCCACGGATGACCGAGAGGTTGGGGAAGAGATCCCGCAGGCTCTCCAACCCGTAGACACGGAAGAGCAGCAGGTACTCGGTGATCATCAGCAGGCGGGGGAAGCTGAGCCCGCGGAAGTCCTCGGCGCCCGTGGTGAACATCAGCAGGATCTGCAGGTTGCCTTCGATGATGGAGCAGTTCTCCAGCTTCTGCAGCTGCGACACGTCGTTGCGGATGTCCATGCTGCCGCAGACTGGGGTGGCAAAAAGGGGCCCAGGGGCAAAGGGATGCCCCAGAGCATCCCGCCACCACACAGGTGTCATCCCTCCCCACCCCAAGATAGGGCCGCAGCGATGCGTGGCAGGGGTTAATGTCCTGCTCTGGCTGTCAGCTGCCTGCGGTCGCTGTGGGCAGCTGGGGCAGATGAGAGCAGCCATGACAGGCAGCCGGCGCACCACAGCTCCTAGGGGGACAGCACGGCTGCTGTGATGCTAACGAGGTCTGGCTCTGCGGGAGCTTCCTAGGACCATTTCATAGCCCTCTGCCAACCCCATGGAGGCTGCAGCCCCTGGGGTAGCAGCAGTGAGCACGCAGCATCCTCCCACCGAATCGCTCCCATTGACACTTTGCAGAGATGGGGCTATGGGGTCACCATCCCAGGGGTTTTCCACCCCATTGCAGGTGGGCACCATGGGGCTGAGCATCTCCTGCTATCTCTGCTCCCCTCCAGCAGTATCCCCAGCCTGAAACCTGACTCCGAGTTCTTACGGAGAGAAACTCACTGATACTCAGAGAGGGATTTACTGTAAACACCGATAGCAAAGATGTCCAGCTCGGCGTGTACCCCGAACACCCAAGCAGTGCTGGCAACGTGGAATGGAGCTGGAGCACTCAGAAGTGTGTGGCAAGGCAGCAATACACAGAGCCCCCCCAGCACTATGGGGTACCCTCGGGACATGGGAGTCTCCATTCTGCTGTGGGGCTGAGGATGCAGTATCAGCTCTGAGAGTGCAACACTCTGCTGCCACAGCTGTGACCTTGGCAAAGTCACAGCGGTCCCTGTGCTGAGTGGGGGAACAGAAGGAGAGAGGGGACCAGGAACAACATGGTCCCTATTGTGGGTAGAGAGAATTCTAGGGTCCCCAGCGCCCTCACAGGGGCAGAGACAGAGCAAGAAGCATTCCCAGAGCAACTCTCAGCATGAGTTCGGCTGCTCCGTCCTCATTCCCCCTCCACTTCTCTCTAGCTCCCAATGGGGAAACTGAGGCAGCACGCAGAGAAAGGACAGACACACAGTGACAAACCCAGGCATGTGGGTCCCTCTGTCCCCACCTTGCTGGGAGTGCAGGGACCCCACCAGGGGACATCCCCACATAAGCCCCTGGGGCTTTTCCTGATCCAGGATCATCAGAACCCCGTGCCTGTCCCCCAGGTCGCATCCCCAGACTAAAAGGTTTAAGCATCATTTTCCATCACTGCTGAGTGCAGTGGCTTCATGGAATCATTTCCTACAAAAGCAAGGGATGCCCTGACCCCACCACAGGCCCCCCACCCCATTTCCTCCCCAACTCCAGACCCCAAAGGTCACAGCCGTGCTCGTGCCGCCAGGTGAGGATTGTGGCGGCGCGGTCATCGCGTCAGAGGGGAAACTGAGGCAGCAAGCACAAAGCTTCACCTGGAGGCTCAGCCCAACAACTCCAAAACCCCAAAACCCATCCCCCTCACCCCTCTTCCCACCACTTACTTTCAGAGGGGGCCTGCACCGGGGGCAACAGGAGGGGGCCGAGGAGCAGCAGGGCAAGCAGCAGCCGTAGGACCCCCGATGCCCCCATCCCGTGGGGCCACGTCTCACTCCTGCCCGGTGCTGCTGCAGGCGGGCACACGTCCGGCCCCGCACGCCGGGCACTCCTTGCCAGCACCGAGGCACGCCGGGAGAAGGGTGGCCCCGTGGCCCCTTCACTTTTGTTTTCGGCTGCCACACACAAAATATTTAGCCTGACAACTGTGCGGGGCTGGGCCAGGGCCAGGGCCGGGGCTTGTTTGGGAAATAGAGAGGGGAGAAAACAGGGCGGCCCTGAGAGTAGTGGGGCTGGAAGGGGTCAGGGAGTGTGAGATGCCCCCAGACCTTGTGTTCTTCAGGATGATGCTCCGTGCTTCGCTTTCTGCAGGTGTGGGGATTACGGGGAGGATTTGAGGGTATGGGTACATCCAGGGTGATCCTGTGAGGGGTCAGTCCCAGGGAACAAAGGAGCAAAGAGGAGGAAGAGGAGGAGGAAGAGGATGAGGAGGGGGAGGAAGCTGCTCCGCTCAGCACCCAAGATAAGAGGATTGGGGCACATTTATTTCTCGAATTAGAGCCAAGGGAAGGGCAGAGCCCTCAGGTGAGGGTGTACCTCGGGAGCACAGCAGTGCCCCTGGCTCTGCCCCAGTGGCCCTCAGCACAGCAGCACTGGGAGCAGCAGCTCCAGCACTCAGGTGCTCACATCTGCTGGGGGTGAAGGGGGGTCTGGAGGTCCTTCTCGTGGGTTTGCCCCATTCTTCTGTCCCCACCCTGGGGGGGAGCTCAGGAGCAGCTGCTCCTACGCCGACGGAGCAGAGTCACGGGGCGGCTGCCTTCCTCCTCCTGGTCGCTCTCACAGCAGCGCTGGGGGCACAGAAGGGCACAGAGAGGCTGAAGGTCAGGGACAAGACCGTGGACCCCCCCAGGGAGGGGCATCCCATGGCACAGCCCCTCATTATCCATTATGCACCCCCAGCATCTCACCAGCTCTTCGCCCTCCGTCCCGGGGCTGCAAAGCAGCCGCATGCGGCACAGCCGGTTGCAGGCAGACACCATGTTGTAAGAGAGCTGGGGGAGCAGCAAGGCAAGGGTCTGTGCAGGGAGCTCTCCCCTCCACTCCCACCACTCCTATACTGGAGCATAGACCCCACCATGGCCCCCTACCCAAATGCACCCAGCCCTGGGGTGGAGCACGATGGCTTCACACAAGTACCCACAGGTGGTGGGACCCCGCATCCTGCCGTCCCCATCCCTCACCCCCTTATCCCTCCCTTTCACCTTCCACTTCCTCCGGGCGTTGAACTTGCGGAAGTTTTTCATGTTGATGGAGGAACGGCACCGTTTTGCTGCTTGTTTCCTGTTCAGGGGCTGGAGGGACGAAGCTGTGGCATCATCACTGCACCCCCTCCCCACGTCCTCAGCACACGGCAGCCAGTGGAGCCCAGCTATGTTCCCCCTTTCTACCTCACCTTAATCCAAGGGTGCACAAGGCACTCAGATGCAGTCATTCGCTCCCTGCAACAGAGAGGGCTGTGATGGCAGGGATCTGGGGATCCCCAGGGTAGGGGACAGAGACCCCCAAGGACTGGGACGGAGACAGGCATGGCACTCACTGAGGCTCTTTCACCAGCAGCAGCCGGATGAAGTCCTTGGCCATCTCAGAGGTGTCACTGAAGTAGCGCTCCTCGAACTCATAGGCGCCCTCCAGGACGTTGGAGAGGGTCTCAGCATCTGTCTCACCCTGGAAGGGGGAGAAGCCGCTGAGCCTGCAGGGACACGAGGGAGCGTGAGCACCGGAGATGGACCTGCCACGCTGCCCCCTGTGCCTCAGTTTCCCCCGGCTGCATTTTCCCCTCGCCACTACTCACAGGATGTAGGTGATAACCCCGATGCTCCTGAAAGACAGAGGGTGGGGGTCAGGACTGTCCTCTGGGGCTCCCTACAGTGGCACTGTGGGTCCCCCCCCTCCCTCTCCTCACCACATGTCGGTGGCGGAGCTCAGCGGTTCGTAGTTGATCACTTCGGGAGCTAAGGGTGAAGGAAAAGCAGAGGGGGGCATGTCAAGTGGGAGCACCACACGGGCACCCCGATATGTCCCCAGTCATGCAGGTCCCCCTCCCAGTGAAGCTGTCCCAGCTCTTGTCTGCCCCTTAGAACTGGGGCTCCAGGGGTCCCACTGCCCCTTCAGTCCAGCTGACAGCTCCATACCAATGTACTGGGGGGTCCCGCAGAGGCTCTTGAAGGTGACACCATCCTCCAGCTTCTGGGCCAGGCCAAAGTCGATGATCTTGATTTGAGGCTTGGGCACATCCTTCTCCTGCAGCATGATGTTCTCAGGCTGCGTGGAGGTGGGTGAGGAACAGTAAAATACCCCAGAACCACCCCCAGGTAGGATGCAGTCATAGGGTGGGGGGGGGACACCCTGGGTCAGCCAGGGACCTGCACAGGCACCTTGAGGTCAAAGTGGGCGATGTGGCGCCCATGAAGGTACTGCACCCCAAGCAGGATCTGCTCCAGGAACTCGATGGCCTCCTCCTCCAACAGCATCTCCTTCTCCGCAATAAAGTCAAAGAGTTCCCCACCACGCATCCTGCAGGGCAGGGCAATGCTGGGGGGAGGTCTGGGGGGAGCACAACACCAGTACCCCCCCCCCCCCCCCCGCCCCAACCCCAGGACCCCGCTCACAGCTCCAGCACCAGCACCATCTCAGCTCTGCATGTGAAGAGGTCGTGCAGCTGCATGATGTTGGGGTGCTGCAGGTCCCGCAGGATGGACACCTCCCGTTCCACCTGCACCCTTTCCAGGCCCCGCCGGCTGCCCCGGCACCTCCGCGTCTTCACAAATTTGGCAGCATAGAAAACGCCGGTGCTGCGTTCCCGGCACTTCTTCACCACTCCAAAGTGCCCACTGCGAGGGAAACCAGGGCACTGGTGGGGATGGGGAAGAGGGCACGGCTGCAATGTCACTACTCTGCACACCCCACACCACCCTACTCACCTGCCCAGCGTCTCCAGCAGCTCGTACAGCTCCTCCACACTGCGTGCACGCAGGGCGACCGCCTGCAGGAGTGCACAGACCTGGCTTAGCCAGGCGGCACCCCCTGGTACAGGCTGCAGGGGGGTTCACCGGTGTCTCCTCCCCCAGTTTGCACCCCCAGGACCCTTCCCGTTGCTCTCACCTGGGGGCCGTCGGAGGCAGCCCCGCCATCCTCAGCCATGGCTGCAAAGATAAATAGACAAAAGGGATGGGAGGGGAGGGCAGCAGGACCAAGAAGAGCCCTCCCAAATCTCACCACACCGATGGCGCAGCTCCCAAGCAAAGAGGGAAACGGAGGCAGGGCGTGCGGCCGAGCGTGCAGTGCTGAGGGGTAGCACCCAACGCCAGAGGCAGGGTCCCCCTCCAGCAGGAAAAAACACCTCGATAAGGGAACACAACGAGGGAGCACGGGACCTAACGGCTTTGTGCACGGTTGTCCCCATCCATGGCCAAGCAGAGCTGTCTCCAGCCCAGATCCTTCCCCCCCTCCACGCTCTGCTTGCTCCCAGCACCGCCAGCCCCACTGGATGGCCTCTCTGCACAGTGACAGCCCCGTGCCACCCCCAGGCAGCGCAGGCACCCCGCCAGGCACTGCACAGCCTCGGATCCACGTAGGCTGGAGTCTGGTGACCATCCCCAACATGTGACAGAGCTGTGGGAGCACTGGGGAGGCAGCTTTTGTGGTGACAACGGCACCGTTGTCCCCAAGGCAGTTCTGTCCCTTGTGCAGGGCTATGCTGTGCACCCCAGCACCCTTACCTTTGCTCTCAGCTCCGGCGATGGGGATGAAGACCCTTCGTGGGACGGTGCCACACTCTGCTCCGTGCCACTGCTTGCGCTCTGGTTTCCTCGAAGCTGCTGTGATTCCTGGGATCCGCTGGGCAGCGGCTCAGGGAAAAACAGCAGGAAACGCCAAGAGCTGCTCGTCTGCTTCCAAGGTCTCGTGAGAAATCCCCCCACGCTGTCCCCGCCCGGCAGCGCCCGGACAGCTGCAAAGGGGCTGGGAGAGGCCTTGTAGGGTCACATCCTCGAGGAGCAGCTCTGGCGCCGTGGCTGCTCTGTCCGCAGCCGTGAGCGCCAGGGTTGCAAACAGGAAACCTGCCTGACCACCGATAGAAATAGTTTAACCCGGCTGCCCGGAGGGGAAACGGTGCAGGGTGTGAGGGCAGGGAGGAGGAACAGGTTTCTTAAGGTGGAGAGAGCCGGGGGGCACCACGCCGTGGGGCTGGGGGTGCTCTGTCCCCACCCGCAGGTGTGCAAAGCTCCAGTGCAGGGCTGCAACCTGGCTCCAGCACAGCTACAGGTTAGGCTCTGTGCAAGAAACAGGGCTGCAGACGGGACAAAGAAGTTTTGCGGGTGCAGGAAGAAGGGAACCCAGCCAGCCCTGCACCCCTCACTGCAACACACCTTGTTGGCACAGCAAGCACCAGGTGCACCCCATGCAGCCAGGTAACACTTACGTGGCTGTACAGCCATCAGCAGCTGAACGTGCTGAGGGTGAAGGGAAAGAGGGCAAAGAGGTGCTCCCACGGTGCCACCCGCAGCCCCCGCCGTTGTTCCGTGACGTGGCCCCGGCGTGCAGCTCGCCGCTTCCTGCCCATCACCGTGCTCAGTGCAGCATCAGCGCTGCCCACCCCACGGCCCCCGGGTCCCGGTGGAGGTAGGGGTGAGGGCTGGGAGTGGGCTGGGGGGGTGTCCCGGGGGTCAGTGTGTTGAGGTGGGAGCAAAAAAGGTTGGGAAGCAAAGACTGGAACAGGGGCACCGAGGGATTGTTGCCATGATGGATGGCAACGGAGGACAAAGGCGTGTGGGGAGCAGGACTCGGTGCTCAGCTCCTTGCTGTGGTTTTGGTGGGCCTTTGCTGCTCCTTTTAGTGTCTCTTTGGATGGGGGACCATTCTGGGTGCACACAGCTCCCGGGTCCTCTCAGTGCTGTGTTAAGGTCCCAGTCTGGTGCTCTCGGCCTTCCAGGATCCCAGTTTGGACAGGCTCGGTCCAGTCCCAATGACTCAGAGCTGGTGATACAGCGTGGTCGTTTCCACCCCCTCGAGCATCTGCTCAGGATTAACTTTGTTTGGCCAAGAGTTGGCGGGACTCAGATGAGCCCTGCATGCATGCAGAGCCGCTGACACACACAGGGTTGGTTCTTCCCAGCGCCGTGAGGGTGACCAGGAAGAAACAGGGCGAGGAGCAGTAGCCTATGGGGCAGCATGGGGGGCTGCTGGGACCCTCAGCCCGCTCCTTTCTGCAACCCGAGGACAGGTGGCTCCATGGATGACACCCAACCCCTCTTCATCACCTTCAAATGCATCGCTGGAGACAAGGCAGGCAGCTTCCAGCCAGGACACGGCACGACCCTGCTGCAGCCCCAGAGTGTGGAGCAGTGTGATGCACGAGGCAGGAGGGGACAAGGGGCAGCGGAGGGTCCCCAGCCCCAGCTGCCCCTTGCTCCCTGCCACGTGCTGCAGGGCTGTTCTCAGCCCAGGGAGGTTGCAGCATCTCTGCGGGCACGCACCAAACTGTGGTTTGAGCAGACACAAGTGCATCGGCTGGGGGCCGCGGGCAATCTGCCAGCCTGGTTCCACGGCTTCATCAGTCGCAGGTGAGCAAGGAGTTCCCCAAGGGTGATCCTGCACCCCCACGGGATGTTCCCACAGGTGAGGGGATGCCCTGGGATCCATTCCTGCAGGGACACAGAACAGATGCTGCAGGGTGAGCCGCTGGGCTGCTTCCTGGTGCGTTTCAGTGAGAGCACGGTGGGCTTCGTGCTGTCCTACAGGTGAGGGATCCCAGCCCAGGGGTATGGGCACGTCCAACCCCAAGCTGTTCCACCACCAACCCCTCTGTCCTCCCCTGCAGGGGCAGAGAGCGCTGCCGACACTTTGTGCTGGACCAGCTGCCCAATGGGCACTATGTGATCCTGGGTGAGCACAGTGCCCACCCCCAGCTGGCCGAGCTGCTGCAGCACTATGCCCACATTCCCATCCCTCCCTACGGTGAGCTGCTGACCGTGCCACGGGGACGGGTAAGCACGCCTTCTCATTGCAGCAATTAGCTGCTTCGTTAGCCCCAGCAGGACGTGGGAGAAACAGCAGCTTTCCTGCTTCACTGGGGCTGCTTTCTCCAGGGAAATCAGGGAATCCAGGCCAGAGAAATCAAAGCATCACAGCTGGAGTTGGCACTTCACCACCCAACATCACAGCTGGGCCAGTCCTGGCCTCGTGACTGCCTTCCTTTCACCTTTTGCACTTTGCAGGACAAGGCCTGCGGAGTGATGCGCACCCCAGACAGCAGCTCCACATCCCGCAAGGCACCAGCAAACCCCCCAGCAAACAGCACCATGGCCAAGCGGGTGCCAGGAGATGGGCAGGCAGCAGAGAGTGGCCCTGAGGAGGTAAAGGCAAGGCCTGGGGCATAGAGGTGCTTTCCAGGGCAGCGTGGACATAGCATATGCAAGAGGAAGGAAGGGAGCTGATAGGGTAGGGATGCAGCCAGTCCACAAGGATGGAGCTGGGGTAGGGATGCTGGTGGTCCATGGGGATGCAGCTGGGGTAGGGATGCTGGTGGTCCATGGGGATGCAGCTGGGGTAGGGATGCTGGTGGTCCATAGGGATGCAGCTGGGGTAGGGATGCTGCGGGTCCATGGGATGGGATGGGGATGCAGCTGGTCCAATGGGATCAGCCCCTTCCCCACACTGCCCCCAGCATTCCCTCCCTCTCCAGGCCTCCAACATCCCCCTGCCACTCCCTGCCAAGTTCAGCTCCTCAGCAGCCACCCAGGGACCACGCAGCCGCAACAGCAGCGAAGGAGCAGAAGCCAACAGCCCCTCCACACAGACGCACCTCGAAATCAACCCTGTTGAGATGCTTGACGCCAAGTACCAGCAGCTCATGCGCTTCCACACCTACGCAGAGCCCCACGAGGGCACGGCCCCGCCGGTGGAGCCTATTCCCTTCTATGCCATGGGTTTGGGCTCCAGCCCCAGCGCTGAGGCTAACATCTATGCAGAGGTGGCCACGGTACAACAAGAGCCACCCCGCTGGGGAGCAAGAGGCCCTGGATCCCTGCTGGCTCCCACCACATTTCTGCACCGGCGGTTGTCCCACAGCCTTTCCAACCAGGGCTTCCACAGAAGGCAGCTGCCAGCGACTCCCATTGCAGGCACCACGCAGAGAGCAGCTCCCCGGCCGGCCCTAGAGGTGCGTTTCCATACATCTGCCATAAGGCACAAGCTCTGGTGCAGGACCAAGCTCTCCAGCCCGGCCCTCACCAGGCACCAAGTCACCATCTCACTAGCTTCCCTTCCCACAGATTCCTCCGGCCCCAATGAACTCAGCACTGGAGTTTGATGACCCTGCTTACAGCCCAAGGATGAGCAGCACCAAGCAAGCTGCAGCCCCGGAGAACATTTACGAGCAGGTTTCTAGAGGCCATCCCTAAGGCACAGAGGTAGGGCCATGGCAATGCCCAGCCTCTTGTTGGCACAAGGTCTGCCTGCTCTGCTCTTGCAGGGCAGAGGGAGACCCCCGGACCTTGGAGGCAGCCCCAGGCATACCAGCAGCATCCATCAGCTCTGCGTTGGGATTCACACGGTCGCCTGCTTCCCAAACCCTGTTTCAAAGGGGATGAGGAAGAACGGATTTAATTTATCTTCGCAGAAGGAGATTGCTATGAATAGAATCAGGGTGGAGGAAAAAGCTATTAGAGCAGAACCAGATGGGTTTCGGGCAGGGCTGGTGCCATCCATGCAGCATTTCGCTGGCTGCAAACAAGCCTGGTCCTGCCAACAGATGCCTTGAGCTCTGCCCTGCTTGCTCAGCCACCGAGCACAGAGCAGCACCAAACCCCAGAACAGAAGATGAGGGCGACACAGAGCCTGCGCCGCCCCACTGCACAACCCCAACTCCTTGCTCTGCCCCCAATGTGCAGCAACAAGAGTGTGGTTCTCATCAGCCCTGATGCAAACACAGCCACAACAGAAGGGAAAAGCGTGTGAGAGCAACTGGAGACCCAAATTTGGACGCGTTGGAGCTTCAAAAGGAGGACTGAAAAGGAGAACAGAGGTTTTATGCTTCTACCTCTAAGAAAATCGCTTCCGTTTTTCACAAGCCTTCACGTTGTTGCTCGTAAATGGCTAAAAGCAGAGCAAAAGTCAGCAGCGATTGCCATCCTCCTAAGTCCCCTCTAGCGTTAAAAATGAGCAATTACATATGGAAAAGGCAAAAATAAACAGGAGGATCTGAACGCTGCCTTCAGCCCCTGGGAGGGATTGGCAGAATGAAGCCAGAGGAGCTCAGACCCACAAAACTGCAGTGGGGAGAAACCTTCCAGGTGCTGCTGCCCCACATTCAGGACACCCGACCCCCACTGCACACACAGCAGAGGGCAGTGAACCCAACCCACCTCACCTTGTGCCTCACACTGCAAACAGCTGTGGTTTGGTTCATTTAAAAGTTTATTCCTTTATCAAATCTCTTGTCAGAGGATTTCACTGTACATATAAGATATGAATAAATTACTCAACAGTAACTTTATTTTGGTCATTCGGATACTCAAACTTGGCTCTGCAAAGTACTAAAACATCCAGGAAACTAAACTAGAAGTTACATTTCTTCTTTTAAATATTCTAAGAAAGAAATTCTTTCATCGGGGTTTGTTTTCTTGGCTCCTTTTTTAAACAGGCAATGGGAGAAAAACAACCTCATGGAGTTTCTTCCTAAACCACTCTCAGCTGTTTCAGCTGCAGTTACAACAAATACAACCCTTAGTGTTGGAAATGCGAGTTGAAGAACCAGACCAACTCCCTGCTCCCTTCAGCATCACACAGTGGTGAACAATGAGCTAAGAGAGGTCACAGAGACTTGGCTAAAGATGCACGGGTTGGGGCTGGTGAGGTTGCACGATTTGCTGTCACATCACCTAGACCTAATACCTTAAATCAATTTAATTCTTTAAAAAGTTAAGGCTGGGACACTGTCTCCTCTTCCCAGCCCAGAGGGTAATGTTAACACTAAAACAGATGTGATGCCTTTATAGGAAAGGAAATTCATACAAACGAGCTAAAAAGCTGAAAAATAAATGTACAGTAGGCAGCTTTCGTTGTGCCTGCTCCCAGGAAACTGGGATACTCAGTTCAATAAGCATGGAGATCAGATTGTTACAGCACTGTCGGCCCTGGATCAGAGGGAGGAGGAAGAAGGGGAAAAGGGAAGCAATGTACACACGATCATCAGCTACACCCAAAGGTTCTCAGCAGCAGCTCGTGCTGGCTGAGGTCCTCATTGCTTTCTGCACTCAACACTGCAGTATTTTCACTTCTGTTCCAAGCTCTGATCTGTCACTTTGCTTCTCCTTTGAAACAACAACAAAAAAAAAAAACGAGCTTCCCCTCAGCACGGTTTGACATGGACAGGCTGGTGCAGCCAAGAGCAAAAACAACAACTTGGCCACGTGCACACACACAAAAAAAACAATCATAAAAATCCACCGTCCGTATGAGAGGAGCAC